TTTATCGATTTCTCAATTTCTCAAATTTTTGGTTCTGCATTTTCCGATTTTTCGAATTGTCAGTTTCTCGATTCCTCGAGTTCTCGATTTCTCAATTTCTCAATTTTTTGAATCTGCATTTTTCCATTTCTCGATTTTTCGTGTTGATTTTTCGATTTTTCGAAATCTCAGTTCTTCATTTTTCCCATTGTTCGAATTTTCGACTTGGTTTTTGATTTTCCGAGTTTTCAATTTATCATTTTTTTTTTAATTTTATGATTTTTGATTTTGGTTTTCTGGAGTTTTAGACTTCTCGATTTCTCGATTTCCCAGTTTCTCGATTCTCATTTTTTGATTCTCACAACTAAGGAAGTATAGCAGTCGAGCCCATCGGGCGACTTGCCACTTTTATGTTTTCTCGACGTTTCATGACCTCTAGGAAAAACAGTCTTCCGTTTCAGCCTGTTTGTCGTTTGTCTGTCTATCCGTTCGTCTGTCTGTCTGTCTACCTGTGTGTCCGTCTGTCGAACCATTTTTGTTCCATTGTAGTTTAATTAATTCATTACTCGTCTCTTCTAGTTTAAGGAGAGAAAATCAATCAAATCAATGGGAACGTTCTTATAATCGCATTCTTTCGAAGGATAAACATAAACACTCAAAGTTAAACATGTAATCAATAAGAGTAAATAAAATAAATATTTGAGAAAAACCATTTCTGAGATTACGGTTGATATCTCCACTGGTAATGTTCATCAATTTGTTTAAAAAAAATAGTTCGAAAGAGAAAATATCATTCTATTCAATACTTGTTTTTTTTTTATACCAGTACACTGCAATAATTATGTTAAAAATAAATGAACCCGAGAAGCAAGCGAAGCATTCATCTGAAAACATTTTTCACTTATGTAATTAATACCATTTTTCTCCATTTCTCGATTTTCGAATTTTCATTTTGATTTTTTGATTTTTCGAATTCTCAATTTTTCGATTTTCTCAATTTTGATTTTGTCGCTTTTTCATATCTTTTGATTTCTCGATGTTTCAAAATCTCAATGTTTTGGTTTTTCACTTTTCCGAGTTTTAAATTTCTCGATTTTCCATTTTCTGATTTTTAAAATTTTTCTTTATTATGCTGAAAATTTTAGAATTAGAAAAATTATTTGGTTGTGTATTTTTAGATTTTTCCTATTCTCAGTTTCTCGAATCCCCGAGTTCTTGATTTCCCAATTTTTCAATTTTTTGATTCTGCATTTTACGATTTCTCGATTTCTGGGTTTTTGAATTTTCATTTTGATTTTTTGGTTTTTCGAAATCTCGATTTTTCATTTTTTCGACTATTCGAATATTTGATTTGATTTTTTAATTTCCGAATTCTCAGTTTTTCGTTTTTTTTATTTGATGATTTTCGATTTTTATTTTTTTCGAGTTTTCGAGTCTCCAATTTTTCAATTTTCGATATTTGGATTTTTCGATTTCTCGTTTTCCCGATTTTCAGATTCTCGAATTTTCGATTTTTTAAGTTTCATTTTGGTTTTTCGATTTTTCGAATTCTCAATTTTCTGTTTTCTAGATTTTTCGAATTTTTTGGTTTCTTGATTTTTCGAATTTTCCCTTTTTTGATTTTTCACTGTTCCGAGTTTTAAATTTCTAGATTTCTCGAATTTCCATTTTCAGATTTTTAAAATTTTTGCTTTATTGACTTTTCAAAGTCTAAATTTCTCGTTTTTTTGATCATTCGATTTTTCGATGTTTCGATTTTTCGAGATCCCGAATTCTAATTTTTTCGATTTCTCAATTTCTCCATTTGTATTTCCCAATTTCTCGATTTCTCAAATATTTGGTTCCGCATTTTTCGATTTCTCGAATTCTCGGTTTCTCGAATCCTCGAGTTTATGATTTCCCAATTTTTCGACTGTTCGAATTTTCGATATGATTTTTTGATTTTATGAATTCTCAATTTTTCCTTGTTTTGATTTTGATTTTCGATTTTTAATTTTCTCGAATTTTCGATTCTTCCATTTTTCAATTTTCCATATTTTGATTTTTCGTTCTCTTGATTTTCAATTTCTCGATTTCTCGATTTTCGAATTTTCATTTTGATTTTTCGATTTTTCGAATTCTCAATTTTTCGATTTTCTCAATTTTGATTTTGTCGCTTTTTCGTATTTTTTGATTTCTCGATGTTTCAAAATCTCAATGTTTTGATTTTTCATTTTCCGAGTTTTAAATTTCTCGATTTTCCATTTTCAGATTTTTAAAATTTTTCTTTATTATGCTGAACATTTTCGAATTAGAAAGATTATTTGGTTCTGTGTTTTTCGATTTTTCCTATTCTCAGTTTCTCGAATTCCCGAGTTCTTGACTTCCAAATTTTTCAATTTTTTGATTCTGCATTTTTCAATTTTTCGATTTTTCGAATTTTCATTTTGATTTTTGGGTTTTTCGATTTCTCGTTTCCCCGATTTCTAGATTTTTCGAATTTTTTGGTTTTTTGATTTTTCACTGCTCCGAGTTTTAAATTTCTCGATTTCTCGAATTTCCATTTTCAGATTTTTAAAATTTTTGGTTTTTTGACTTTTCAAAGTCTAAATTTCTCGTTTTTTCGATCGTTCGATTTTTCGGTTTTTCGATGTTTCGATTTTTCGAGATCCCGAATTCTAATTTTCTCGATTTTTCAATTTCTCCATTTCTATTTCCCAATTTCTCGATTTCTCAAATTTTTGGTTCCGCACTTTTCGATTTCTCGAATTCTCAGTTTCTCGAATCGTCGAGTTTTCGACTTCTCAATTTTTCCATTTTTCGACTGTTCGAATTTTCGATGTGATTTTTTGATTTTCTGAATTCTCAATTTTTCCTTGTTTTGATTTTGATTTTCGATTTTTAATTTTCTCGAATTTTCGATTCTTCCATTATTCAATTTTCCATATTTTGATTTTTCGATCTCTTGATTTTCAATTTCTCGATTTCTCGATTTTCGAATTTTCATTTTGATTTTTCGATTTTTCGAATTCTCAATTTTTCGATTTTCTCAATTTTGATTTTGACGCTTTTTCATATTTTTTGATTTCTCGATTTTCCATTTTCTGATTTTTAAAATTATTCTTTATTATGCTGAAAATTTTAGAATTAGAAAAATTATTTGGTTCTGTATTCTCGAATCCCCGAGTTCTTGATTTCCCAATTTTTCAATTTTTTGATTCTGCATTTTTCGATTTCTCGATTTCTGGGTTTTTGAATTTTCATTTTGATTTTTTGGTTTTTTGAAATCTCGATTTTTCATTTTTTCGACTATTCGAATATTCGATTTGATTTTTTAATTTCCGAATATTTCGACTTGACTTTTTGATTTTCCGAGTTTTCAATTTTTCGTTTTTTTTTTTTATTTATGATTTTTGATTTTGGTTTTCTGGAGTTTTCGACTTCTCGATTATCATTTTTTGATTTTCACAACCAAGGAAGTATAGCAGTCGAGTCGATCGGACAACTTGCCACTTTTATGTTTTCTCGACGTTTCATGACCTCTAGAAAAAAAACAGTCTTTCGTTTCAGTCTGTTTGTCGTTTGTCTGTCTATCCGTTCGTCTGTCTGTCTGTTCGTCCGTCTGTCGAACCATTTTGTTCCATTGTAATTTAATTAATTAAGTAGTCCTCTCTTCTAGTTTAAGGAGAGAAAATCAATCAAATCAATGGGAACATTCTTATAATCGCATTCTTTCGAAGGATAAACATAAACACTCGAAGTTAAACATGGATTAATAAGAGTAAATAAAATAAATATTTCGAGAAAAACCATTTCTGAGATTACGGTTGATATCTACACTGGTAATGTTCATCAATTTGTTAAAAAAAAAAAAAAATGGTTCGAAAGTGAAAATGTCATTCTATTCAAAACTTGTTTTTTTTTACATCAGAACACTGCAATAATTATGCTAAAAATAAATGAACCCGAGAAACAAGCGAAGCATTCATCTGAAAACATTTTTCACCTATGTAATGTACGCCATTTTTGAATACTGACTTAATAATGAAGAGAAATTGTTATCTATTTAAAAAGAAAATTTATGCTGCGATGCCTCCGTTAATTAAATTATCCGATCTGTTAATAGAAACATATTTTTAAATATTACTAAACCAAATGCATGTCACACTATAAATTTCGAACGAGATTTAGGTAACAAAATTTTGAAGTGACGTCAGCAAGTGTTTGGAAGGGACGAAGAGATGGATTCTGATTAACGATTTTCCATTTTCATGGTAACCTTAAAGTGTGTGGAAAATTTTAGAGCAATCGTTTTTATACTTTCAGAGATAAAAAACAATATTTCCTTGCTATGAAATTTTAAAAATAAATTATTCATAAGTCACTTTACATAACACATCGGCAGTTTTTTTTTAAATAGTTTACCATCATTATTTTTAAAGTTTTGCTGAAATTTTTTGTCACGTGTTTTTAAAATTCAATATCTCACTTATTTATGGAAATTTCGAAACGCAATTTTCACCACTATGTTCAACTTACAAAGCTCTAGGCATTATTTCGGACAAAAAAAATCGTCAACGTAAATAAAGAAATAATGTAGAGTTCTGTAAGCTGAAAACAGTGGTGAAAATTGCGTTACGAAATTTCCATCAATACCAGAGGTATTGATTTTTAAATATACGTGATGAAAAATTTCACCAAAAAGCTAAAAAGAAGGTGATCAAAAATACAATTTTTTTTTACCACACTCGACATCCTCGCAAATTGCTCAAAACCTCGCCACTAATTACCGACCGTCCTAGATACCCGACGCATTAAATAATATCGTAACAGCGGCGTTTTTTCAATTTTCTAATTCACCTGAACTCGCACTAAATGCCCTGCACCAAGACAAAGTTATGAAACCGTGACCACGTCTAAAAAAAGCCCAAGCACGAAAAGGCTATTTGTCTGTAAAAAATGCGCTTTTTCCATTTACCCCGCTCCATGCCCAAGACCCCAACATTCGTTTGCCGGGTCTGCACAGTTCAAACAGCGTTTTGACCCAGCACAACATGGCTGTTTCCGATTTTTTGTTCGTGTGTTTGTTGAGTGCCCTGCCGGGTGAGTTACGTAGTGGTTATTAATTAATAAAATTGTTTTGTTCCTGTTTTGTTAAATCTTCCTGATTCCGCATCGCATTTCACCTGTTACGATTGAATCGTATCAGGAAATGTCCGTATTTGCATTTTTTCTAAAATGGGAAAGTTGTGTTTTAGGTCCCCCTAGAATCAGCGTGGACGATGCTATTCTCCAGCTTTTTCCGATCAATAAGCATAAATGCCATAAAATCGATCCGATTAGGGACATCGCGTTTCAGCTGTATACGGTGTAAGTAAGAAAGTTGTTAGTAGTAGATAGCGGAGACTCGAAAGCGTCTTTCATGTTAAACGAGTCAAATAATTTTTAATAATTCGTCCTGAAAAAATTACAATTTTTCCGAAAGTAGATATAATTTAATAGCAAATTAAATATGATGATGATAAATTTCCAAATTTCTTTTATAGTTTATACAGTATCCACACTTTTTATTACCTTCGGCATCCAAAATTTTTTAAACATTTTCAAAATTTATGACAAAATTTGTCTTGAAAAATACACTATCAAACGCTTTAACACAAATCTATTCGTTTATTTTCGTCCAAAACTTATGATGTCATTTTTTCTTTTTAAACAACTTTGTATCTTTTACGACTTTCGAAATTTTGTATCTTTTGTATCTTTTACGACTTTCGAAATTTACAGTAGTGGGACTATAAAATTCACCGCCCTGAAGAGTATGTGATCTCAAACAGATTAATTAGATGAATGGCGATTTTCATTGGTTTTACGGTTGAATCCTAATTATGCCGTGCTCATCTGACATGTGACACTAGTTTATAATTCGAGATCAACCATATTTTTAATAAATCAGGCAATTTATTTTATTGACTCAATCAAAAACGACTCACTCCATTTACCCGAAAAAATGACGTCATCACAGAATTTTACATATAATTTTTCGAAAAATCTAGATTTATTTACCTTCGACCAGTTTTTGGATTATCACAATTTTTCGTTTTTTCAACTTTAATTTTTTCAATTTTTTAATTTCTCGCCTTCCAAATTTTTCAATTTTTCGTTTCTTCAATGATTTCGAATTCTTAATTAATAATTTTTCATTTTTTCGATTTTTAATTTTTCAATTTTTTTATTCTTCGATTTTATCACTTTTTGATTTAACAATTTTATTTTTTCAATTTTTCGATTTTTCGATTTTCGATTTTTTAGTTTTTCAATCTGTAATTTCTCTATTTTTCAATTTTTTGTTTCTTCAAATTTTCGATATTACAACTTTTTATTTTTCAACTTTTCGGTTTCCCAATTTTTGATTTTTCAATCTTTCAATTTTTTGTTTCCTCATCAGTTCCTCGAGTTCTAGATTTTAATTTTTCATTTTCCCTTTTTTTTAATTTTATTTTCTCTATTTTATATCATTACAATTTTTCGTTTTTTGATTTTCATTATTTTTTCAATGTTTCTATAATTTTACGTTTATTCAATTTTTCGAACTTTCAATCTCTGATTTTCCAATTCTTCGATTTTCCAATTTAAAAATTTTTTTGTTCTGCAATATTTGAATTTCTCAATTATCCGATTTCATTATTTCGTCTTTTCAATTTAATATATTTTCGATTTTTAAGTTTCTCAATTTTTAATCTTTCGATTTTTCAATTTTTCATGCCTTCAATTTTCAAGTTCTTGATCTATAATTTTCGATGTCCTTCACTTTTTCGATGTTCCTTTAGATTTTATAATTTTTCGTTTTTTCAATTTTTCAAGCTTTCAATTTTTGATTTTTCAATTCCTCGATTTTTCAATCTTTAAATTTTTCATTTCTTCAATTTTTGAATTTCCCAATTATCCCGTTTTCCGTTTTCTTTCATTTTCAATATTTCGTTGTCAATCTGGACTTTCGATTTTTCAATTTTTCGGTTCTTCAATTTTCAATCTATAATTTTTCGTTTTTTCTTATCCTTCAATTTTATCAGTTTTTTATTGATTTACGTTTTCTTTTTCTTTTTTTTCTAGTTTTTGATTTTTCGTTTTTCGATTTTTAGTTTCTCAATTTTTAATTTTTCCATTTTTCGTTTTTTCGTCTCTGCAATTTTTCGATGTTAGGTACAATTTTTCATTTTTTCGATCTTTTAGTTTCTCAATGCCTGATTTTTCAATTTTTAGTTTGCTCAGTGTTTTAAGTTCTTGATTTTTATTTTTCATTTTTCCGGTTTTTTTAATTTTTATTTTCTGGATTTTGTTTTACAATTTTTCGCTTTTTAGATTTTTTATGCTTCTTTAGATTTTGCAATTTTTCGTTTATTCAATTTTTCAAACCTTACAATCTTTGATTTCTCAATTCTTCGATTTTTCAATTTCAGAATTTTTCCTTTCTGCAATTTTTGAATTTCTCAATTATCCAATTTTCCAATTTTTTAATTTTCAATATTTCGTGTTTTCATTCTGGACTTTTTCAATTTTAAGTTTCTCAATTTTTAATCTTTCGATTTTTCAATTTTTCCGTTCTTCAATTTTCAAGTTCTTGATTTATAATTTTTCGTGTTTTCTTATTCTTAAAGTTAGCATTTTTGGATTTCACAGTTTTTGCATTTTCTTTATTTTTTAAAATCTTTAATTTTTCGTTTTTCGATTATGTAGTTTCTCGATTTTTAATTTTTCGATCTTTCGTTTTTTCGTTTCTTCAATTTTTCGATAGAACAAGTTTTAATTTTTTCGATCTTTCAGTTCCTAAATTTTTGATTTTTCAACTTTTCAATTTTTAATTTCCTCAATTTTTTAAGTTCTTACTTTTTATTTGTCATTTTCCCGTTTTTTAATTTTTATTTTCTCGATTTTGTTGCACAATTTTTGTATTTTTGATTTTTTTTTTGACGTTTCTTTAGATTTTGTAATTTGTTTTTTATTCAATTTTTCCACTTCCAATCTCCAATTTTTCAGTTCGCCGATTTTCGAATTTTAAAATGTCTCATTTCTACAATTTTTGAATTTTTCATTATCCCATTTTCCGTTTCCTTTAATTTTCAATATTTCCTGATTTCAATTTGGACTTTTTCTTTTTTCAAGTTTCTCAGTTTTTAATCTTTCGATTTTTCAATTTTACGGTTCTACAATTTTCAAGCTCTTGATTTATAATTTTTCGTTTTTTGTTATTCTTCAATTTAATCATTTTTTGATTTCAGTTTTACGTTTTCATTTTCTTTATTTTTAAAAATTTTTTTTCTCAATTTTTAATTTTTCGATTTTTCGTTTTTTCATTTCTTCAATTTTTCTATAAGGAGTGTTCATTTTATTAAACGGACACCTTTAAAGTAACGCCACTTTTCTAATTTTTAATCTAAATTATTCTAGTTTTTATATATGAAAGCTTTAAGTTGTATCTATTAAATGCCATTTTTGTTTTCAAAATAACGTTATTTCTTTTTAAAATGAAGCGAATCGCCATTGGGGCAAGAAAATTATCTTTGCAAAAGTGCTGCTACGAAAAATTTCCGTTGGGGGGACTGACTAAAATAATAATTAAATGTTCAAAATCAGCAGTGTTCCAAATAATCAAAAAGTTTGGGGAGTTTAATAATTTAGAAGATTTGCTCAAATCCAGACCGAGAAAAGGCCCGCTTAACGAAAATATTGAGGAAGACATCATTAAACTGGTAAAATTAACGAAATGTATGTCTGTGCGGGAAATACCGAAGAAGCAAGGTGTTACCGTAAGTACTGTACAAAATATAAAGACTCGGAATAACATTAGAACGTATTAAAGCAAAAAATCCCAAAAAGAAGCGAAAAGCAGCGCATACAGTTTAAAAAAAAAGCAGGAAGTTATAAACAATTTTGGTCAGGAACAAAAATCGTTGTGTTTTGATGGACAACGAAACGAAGGTTAAAATGGACTGCAATACACTACCCGGCTCCCAGTTTTATAATGCAGTCGTAGGGGAAGATGTCCTCGATGACATGAAAACAAAAAAAAATTGAAAAGTTTGGGAAAAAAGTCTTAGAGTGGCAACCGATTTGTTCTTGTGGGCTAAAAAGTTTTAGTTTTTTTTTTTACGATTGGAGCAATTGGGGGCGATGATTACAGGAAAGAATGTATAAAAACGCGATTATCGCCTGTTTATTGCAAACATCATAACCCTCCATTGTTTTGGCCAGATTTGGCTTCAGTTCACTACGCTGGTGCCACTCAGGAGCTTCTTAATGCCAATAATGTACAGTTTTTAAAAAAGGAAGATAAACCACCCAACTGTCCTGAGCTTCGTCCACTTGAGCGATAATGGGCAAATATGAAAGCAGTGTTAAGAAAAGATGGCCGAACAACATCATGACTTGGAGAATTTAAAAAAATGTGGCCTCCTGCTACGAAGAAAATCATAAACAAACCTGTGCAAACAGTGATTCGCGGTATTCGCGTAATAGTTAGAAAATTTTATAGTTTCTGAATATAATTGATTAGAGAATAAGAATAATTATTTCATTTAACATTGTTAAACATTTTTATAACAAAAAAAATTAAATTAGCCCAAAGTACTCGAATTAGTAGCAATTTTTCAGTGTCCGCTTTATAAAATGAACATTCCTTATTACAATTTTTTATTTTTTCGATCTTTCAGTTTCTCAATTTTTTTAGTTTTTGATTTTTATTTTTCATTTTCCCGTTTTTTTAATTTCTATTTTCTCGATTTTGAATCACAATTTTTCGTTTTTTGATTTTTATTATGTTTCTTTAGATTTTATAATTTTTCAAATTTTCAATCATCGTTTTTTCGATTCATCGATTTTTCAATTTTAAAATTTTTCATTTCTGCAATTTTTTAATTTCTCAATTGTCCGATTTTTCGATTTTTTAAATTTTCAATATTTCGTGTTTCCAATTTTGCACATTTTCGATATTTAAGTTTCACAATTTTTACTCTTTCAATTTTCCAATTTTTCGGTTTTCCAGTTTTCAAGTTCGTGATTTTCAGTTTTTAGATTTTTCAAAGTTTTCGTTTTATACTGTTTCGTTTTCTCATTTTTGATTTTTAGTTTACAATTTTGCAATTTTTCCATTTTTTGATCCGAAAAGTTGAAAATCGAAAAATTAAAAATCGAAAAAAATGAGAAATCGAAAAATTGGAAAATCTCAAACTTGCAAATCGAAAATCCATAAAAACTTAAAAATCGAAAAAATTAATAAACCGAAAATCGGACAGAAGAAAAATTGGAAAACCCAAAAATTCTAAAATTAAAAAATTATAGAATCGTCAAAGTTGTAAAGTAAAAAGCTGTAACAT